TAATAGCACTTCAACAATTCTTCTGAGAAATGGTAGGCTGTTCTTGGATGTCTTCATGTGGAGGTTAGGCATTTGTTGGGAATGATTTAAATTTGATTACTGTGTTGAGCAAGAGTTGGACCGCATGGCTTAAATGGCACCTTCTAACACTACAATTCCAGGATTTATTATAGTGCTGTGTAGTTCATGGAATATTATGAGAGGATATAGATAACTTCATTTTTCATCTGGATCTCTCAGAATTCGAACTCTTCTGTCACAGCCCAACTGTTTGTAGCAGTAGTTTAAGTTTAATATTTTAGCCACGACATTATCTCAGCACAGTAGGGTCAATTTATTTCCAGTTATGGGAGTTCTATTTCTAATTAAACAATTTGCACATGATGAAACCAAGAAAAGAGATACTTTTATTTTATTGATTGATTTGATTTGCATGCCACCTTACTCATCTAGAAGTGATTCTACTTTGCACATATTCAAAAGCCCATCCATTATATTTGTCCAAAATAGACAAAATATTTTAAAACTGGAACTACATAAATCGTTCAGTACAAATAATCAGGACTGGATTGGATTTTCCAAGCAATGAAATTGCGGATAAGATGGCATATAACAAGGCCACCTCTCTATATGTTCATCTCATATACCACAATGCTATAGTTTTACTATAATGTTCCATATTTGTTCAAAATGTTCTTGCATTTTTTCCTCTAGAGTTAGTTTTGATATCATATGACTTATACTACATGCACCTCAGAAGGAAAAAGAATACCATATTTCCTATTTTCTAAATATTTTCTTTATAACATAGTGCAGTGATGGCGAACCTTTTAGAGACTGAATACCCAAAAACTGGCCCCTGCCCTGCTCCACCCCCTGCCCTCCCCCGCTCTGCCCCCTTATCCCCCGCCCCGCCTGCCCACAGGACCACTCACCGCCTCCAGGGCCTGCCGCAGATCGCCCAAGTAGCCAGCAGCGCTATGGCGGCCATACCCTCTGTCCGCGCCCTGCAGCATCAACTGCATGATGGAGTGTGAGGGCAGATTCTTGTCTATGCTGCCTGGTTGCCATGTCCTTGGCTGCGCTGCTCCGTGTGGGCCACCCTCGAGGGCGACTCTCCTTCAGGGGGGCTGCTGGAGAGGAGGGGGTCGTGGGGGGAGGCAAGGCTGGGGCAACGGCACGTGTGCCCACAGAGAGGGCTCCGAGTGCCGTCTCTGGCACCCGTGCCATATGTTCGCCACCACTGACATAGTGCAAATATTGCCTGCAGTCCAGGCACTAGGAAAAATGATACTGAAACTCACTCTTATTTACTAAAAGTTTCCATAATGTGGCTACTTTAGGAATATTGTTTTTACATATCTTAAACAAGTGCCTTTGCCCTACGGGTATCAAAAATTCTTAACTTTTGTTTAGTGTTGGAAATCCTCCAACTGATTACTGAGGATTTATTATCCTCTCTAAATGATTTATTGCAAAAGACTGAAGTTTTTTTTATATATAACTGTGGCACTACATTTGGAAAAGGATCAGATTTAGTCCACTTTAAAATCTAAAGATGAAGAATTTTAATAATATATAAATTGCCAATGGTGTAAGGACAATAGGATAGTATATCCTTCTAATTAATGCAGAAGAGCATCTTTCTCAGTGCCAATTTTTTCTGTTCAGCTCATGCTTGAGTGTAATAATACTTATTTTTCATGTACCGGGCTGTCAATTGTTTTGCAGCTTTAAGTTTGGAAGAAAGATATTCTATGCAAACTATCTGAGTGACCTTGAGGAGCATGTGAAGTTGGAACAGTTGGGAATCCCAAGCCAGGTGCTAAAGTGAGAACAGATTGCTTATTTTGACTTGCTTATTTCCAGCTTCTGAAATGGAGGATGATGTATTAAGAAGGGGAGTCAAGAAAAGGGCCTTCAGAGTTTGATTTCTTTGCATACTTGGCGTGACACAGGCAGTCCTTGACTTGCAACCATTTAGTGACCATTTGAAATTACAATAGCATTGAAAAAAGTGATTTATGTTTTTATGTTTTTCATACTTACAACTGTTGCAGCATCCCCATGATCACATGATCAAAATTCAGATGCTTGAGAACTGGCATGTATTTATGACAGTTGCAGTATCCCGGGGTCATGTGATCACCTTTTGCAACCTTCAAAGTCAACGAGTAAGCCAGATTTACTTAACAATAGTGTTACAAACTTAACTGCTGTGATTCACTTAGCAATTGTGGCAAGAAAAGTAATAAAATGGGTCAAAGATGTTTGAGAACTGGCATGTATTTATGACAGTTGCAGTATCCCGGGGTCATGTGATCACCTTTTGCAACCTTCAAAGTCAATGAGGAAGCCAGATTTACTTAACATAGTGTTACAAACTTAACTGCAGTGATTCACTTAGCAATTGTGGCAAGAAAAGTCATAAAATGGGTCAAAGCTTATTTAACAACTGTCTTGTTTAGCAACGGAAATTTTGGGCTCAATTGTGATCATAAGTCGAGGACTATCTGTACTTTAAACCATTTGATGTCTCCCAGCAAAAGATGGGGAGACATTTTTAATCCTCCTTTTTACAGCCTTTGTGTTGGATACTTTCTCCCAGTTATTCAACTGTCTTATTGTTCCTTTACCTTGTATTTGAGAACTTACTCTTAACTTTCTTAAGCAGAGATAGTTTTAGGTGTCATCTTTAGATCTAACCTGGTCATTCCAAATTACTTTTCTGCTCAGTTGTATTAGAGCAGGGGTGTCAAACTGCCGGCCCACGGGCCGGTTTCATCATACCGGAGCCGCGCCCACCCCATTGCCGGCAATGGCAAAAAAGCTCCGATACGTCGCGCGATGTCACGTGACGTCGCGAGTTTGACATGTCTGTATTAGAGGGTTTCTAACTTTCTGTTAGTTAGTTGTTCTAGAGGGTATATTGTAGGGCATTCTTTCATAAAGTAGTGCATCAATGGATATTAATTAAGTAAGAATTTTTAGCGTAGGACAGATTTCATACATACCAATGTTTTTTTCATTGTAGGTATGATGAGTATCTGAGATCACTACAAAAACCTACCCAGGTGCCTCAGAAAGTAACACCACCCCGTCCGCCTCTGCCAAATCAGCAGTTTGGAGTTTCTCTCCAACAGTGAGTATTTCCATCTCTTTATTTTAGTTGATGTACTAGTGATACCTGCACACTTTCTCTGGTAATATTATCAATGTTTCCAATCCAATTACTGCTGTAATTAATTTTATTCTGCCAGGCTGAGCTACCAAGATCTTGGCCAGAGAGACCTTGGATATTAGCTAGTTTCAGGGTCTTTTCTCCACCCCTCCCAAATAATATGTGTGTCGTGTGAGCAATTCTTTTAGAAAGATTGGTATAAAATTATTTGTAGCATCTTGCAAAGGAAAGATAAACATTATATAAGCTTCTCCTCTACCAACAGGCTGAGGGAGAAGAACTCAGACCGGAATCCTATCCCATTGGTGATCAGAGAAACCATTGCTTATCTACAACAGCATGGTAAGAGCAAGGAGAATCCATGTTCAAACTGCTCTGCCCCCTCTGGTATCCCCTACAGGGATTTTTTTTTTTGCTTGGATCAGCTTAGATATTTTCAGATGTCTTAGTATTTTTCTAACTTCACATTGAAAAACAGTGGAATTCTATATATATCAGTATTGTAAACTGTTTCTTTGTAAATATCATGGGCAAAATTTCTCTAAATCATTTGGAGAACTTGCAATCTTCTTGCTTTATTGTCCAATTCTATAATAGATACATTATTTTTAGGGCTACATAATGTTTATTGCTCATGTTTGTAATAATATGATTACTCTGAGCTCTTTCCCTTCCCGCCTCTTTCAGCTCTTACCACACAGGGGATTTTCCGGCGATCTGCAAATACACAAACAGTAAGAGAGGTTCAACAGAAATACAACATGGGTAAATATCTGCTCGAGGTAGTCCCTTCCATTTGTCTTTCCCTTCTGTATAGGCTTTAAATTTGCCCTTGGCACGTGGAACTTCTGCCATATTGCAGGTTAAGCTTTGGCTATTGCTCTGAAACCCTTTATTCTCTCTTACCCAGGATTGCCTGTGGATTTTGCAACATATGAGGATGTGCATCTTCCAGCTGTGATTCTCAAGACCTTCTTGAGGGATCTGCCTGAGCCTCTGCTCACCTTTGGTCTCTACAGTGATGTTGTCAATTTCTACAGTGAGTTGTTACCAAGATGGTCCTAATCCCATATCAGTAATCTTTTCTCAGTATGCTTGACCCAGAGTTATGATTTTCTTTGACAGTAGGAAAAGAAGACTTATTTTTCAAGTCAATATAATTCAATTTCTATTGATTAGGAGACTTTTTTTTTTTTCAAGTATTTTTTCTCTGCAAGATAATCTCTCCCTATGTTAACTAGAATTGGGAATGTTGGTGCCTATCACACTTGTTTTCTTTTCCTTTAAGGTATGGAAGAAGAAAAGAGTATAGATATTGTTCGCAAAACACTTCAGACTCTTCCAGAGGAAAACTATCAAGTTCTGTGTTTATTAATGAACTTTCTTGGGCAGGTGAGATTAGTGTATTACATACTTTTCAGATTCTCAGCCATAAGGTGTGGTGATGATGGTTAGCTTATGTAATTTTAAAACAAATTTGAAAAGTTAATGGAGGGTGCCTATCACTTATTATTAATCGTCATAATATGGCTGGTACCCTCCATTAATTTTGTGTAACTGTATGTTTAGAAATAACCTAAATTTGAATATGAGATACACTGGTTAGAAGGCCTGTGAAGACATTGATCTTCACTCTGGTGAGGGAGTGTAAGGCCCTTTGCTTCCACATTCTTGTCATCCTTAATCTTTCATGTTTGATTGAATTTATCACAATTTTTTTATTTGTTTATGGTGAGCTGCCCAGAGTTGTGGAAAGGCGGGCAGAATACAAGTTAAACAAGCTATTATTAGTCACTGTTTGGAAACAAAATGCTAAAATAGGTGAACCCAAATTTTTCTGTGTATCCAATCTTCTATAGCGCTCCATCCTGATCCCTTTTCCCCAGTCATTGACAAATATTCTACTTGTGAAAGGATCGGGCTCAGGTTCCACCAAAGCACTTCATTGCTGAGCAGTAATTACAAAATGTCTATATCCATGCTGAAATCTGATCACTATATATACCATATATATCCATTTTCTTGCCACGATTTATGTTTCTTTTTCTTCTTTTGTTCAGTTGTATCTAATTCTCAGAGACTGCCTGGACAAATCCGTGCAGTTTTCTTGACAAGATTTTTTTTTTTCAGAAGTGGTTTGCCATTGTCTCCTTCCTAGGACTGAGAGAGAGTGACTGGTCCAAAGCTGCCTAGGGTGGGATAGAACTCGTGGTCTCCCAGTTTATATCCTAATGCAGACATGTCAAACACAAGGCCCGGGGGCCGGATGCGGCCCGCGACGTGGTTTCATGTGGCCCGCGAAGCCATCCTGGAAACAATGAGGGAACGGCCCCTGCTGCCTTGGCCCCGGCCCCGGCCAGCCGGGAGCCAATGTACAATTTTGTGGTGGCCATCTATGCTGAAACGCATTCAGTCTTAGCTCCACAAGGCTGTCTGGAAACAGCGAGGAACAAGCCCCTGCCGCGTCTGTCCCACCTCCTGGGTGCATGCTGGGGAGGTGTCACCCTTTGTGAGGAATGAAGAAATGCATCGCCTGGAAGTGGCCAGCAAATGGCCCTTGCCCACTTCACATATCCGGCTTGATGGGCTCCGGGGGAGGGGTTTCGGCAGGCTCTTCCAGTGGACCATGCCTTGGCGCTTACTCTGGTCCCACCCCCTTCTGCCAGAGACCCTCAGATCTGTCCCACTCCTGCCCAGGCCCCCATAGGCACCCTTGACGCGAACGATGTAGAGCTGGCCATGCCCACCCAGTAGGCCACACTCCACCCACGCCCACCCAGTTGGCCGCACCCACCCTGGCCACACCTACTCGGCCCCCCGAGGACAACCGCAATGCTGATGTGGCCCTCAATGAAATTGAGTTTGACACCCCTGTCCTAATGCCTTAACCACTGTGCCAAAGTGCACCTCATTATGTGTTGTGTGGTAAAAAAACAAAATTAAAAGTGAATGTAGGGAATGTAAATCAAATTAATACTTACAGAATTTAATTCCTTGTTAGTGTGATGCAATGCATAGATAATGTTTGAGGAACGGGGGAAGGAAATATTGCCTAAGAAACCATCAGACAAAAGAGACAGGAGCCTTCAATTGTTTGTCGAAGAAGAAACCTAGGAATGACACACCTTCCTAGCATTTAAAAGCGGTAGGCAAGACATTTGTACTTTCAGACTTGCAAGATTGATGTTGGCTTTCCCAATGAAACCAGTCAGGAAACACGACCAGATGAACTAAGTCTACTTTATTGTCAGGTCACATTAACAGAACCTCGTAAGTACAAACTTCCCACCTGCCACTTTTACTGCTAGAGCCGTTAGGGTGGGTCCTTCCTAAGACTCTGACCATTAAACAATTACGGGTGCCTGGCCTGTGCCTCTTATCTGATGATTTCCTATGCAGCATCTCCTCTCCCCTTTCCTCAGGGTTATCCATGCGATAGAAAGCATCTCTAAGAGTATAAGGGACAAGATATGAAACCTGTATCCCTATTCTGCGGCAGGTGAACAAGATTGCCAAAAGTTATATATAAATTTGTATGTGCTTGTGTATGTGTGTTAGTCATCTTTAAAGCTCTTTGAGGCTCATCCCGATTATCCATGAGGCTGCCTGCTTCTAGGCTCTAGCGGAGGGCTGGACGAAGACCTTCAAGGTCCCTTCCAGCTCTATTCTGATTGAATTAAATTAGTTATACCTCCTCCTCCTCCTCCTTCTTCTTCATCAGCAGCCGCACGAAAAAGTGCTGCTGAGTTTTGTCCAAACCAGTCCCTTAGATTTTGAAGCCACGATGTTCTTCTTCTGCCTGGACCTCGTTTGCCTTCAATCTTTCCCTGGAGGATTAAATGGAGTATGCCGTATTTTTCTGGGTGTCGCATCACATGACCGAAATATTCTAACTTTTGTTTTTTAATTGTTTTGATGATTTCCCTTGGCTTTCCCAGGAGGCTTATCACCTCCTCATTTCTGATCTTGTCAACCCAGTTTATACGTAACAGCTGCCTGTAAATCCACCTTTCAAATGCTTCTAGTCTCTTCAGGTGGCCTTCTGTCAGAGACCAACTCTCTACTCCATACAGCAGGATAGAAAAAATATAGCATCTGACAAGCCTGATTTTCAGTCTTAGTAGTTATACCTGGCTGGCCTATTTGATCTAACAGACTAAGCACATTCTAAGTCCCATTGTTAAAATTATGACACCTTGCGAGACTTCAGAGATGTATCTTTTCAGTAGTCTTACCTGCTGTGTGGGAAAGAAGCCCAATATATGCATGGCCCCAGTCATGTTGTCAACTTAGGAAAGGTCTTCAAGTGTGACACAAGACACTTTATGACGCTACACTGATCTTAAGATAATAGTTCTTTATTCTTGATGTTTCCTTCCCTATCCACTTTTACAGTGACTTTGGATGTGTAAAAACAGTCATACAATATAATTTAAAAAATAATAAAATGCCTGCAGACTTCAAAAGAAAAGCAACCATTAAAAGACAATAAATCCTGCAAATCCACTCTAACCGAAGGCCTGGAGAAAGGGCCAGTTTTTCAGATCTTTTTTTAAAAAATAATAATAATAATCGTATGTTTTTACACATCCAAAGTCATTGTAAAAGTGGATAGCTTTATACATATCTTAAATCAATCAAATTTATAAGATAACTCGCAATGTCTCTGTTGCAAGTTGCTCACATGTCCTTGGACAGTTGAAGTGGCTTATAAATTGAACAAATAAATATCTACCAATTAGATTTTTGTTACTTTATTCCAGAAAAGATTGAAAGCAACACACTAAAAGAAATTAGCAGATGACTAATTCCGTAAACGGGGAAGAATTTTTAACTAAAGACCAGTAGTCTATTAAACAGCAGGTATTCTAAACTCCAAATATCACTATTTTATATGCAAGACAACTTTGGTCTTTATGTGTAACCTGAGAGTTGAATAGATGGTAAGGAGCTAAGAAGCACTGAATCAAATTCCTGTTTTTTTCCCCCGAGTGTTTAAATTTTTTCTTCCTCTTTTTCTCCCGTTACTTCACATGTAGGTCTCTGCCAACAGCGATATCAACAAGATGACCAATGCCAATCTGGCAGTAGTATTTGGCCCAAATCTGTTGTGGGCTAAAGATGCAGCTATAACCCTCAAAGCCATCAATCCTATCAACACCTTTACCAAGTTCCTCTTGGACAACCAGGTGCAGCTTTCCCAGAACACAGAGGCT